AGTATTTAAGTGATCTTATTAGACCTTGTGTCTCACTTGAGTATAGTTCGAAAGATTCTTTTAGTTTTGTTAACGAGATTCGCAACCTTAACTTAAAAAATAAAGTCATGGTTGAAAGTTTATTCACCAATATTCCGCTCAAAGAAACGATTGAACTTGCTGCTAACTCAATTTATAGTCGTAACAATGAATTAAAAATCATACAAGAATAACTTAATCAAATTATTGACCATTGCTACTTCAGGCACTCATTTTTTGTTTAAAGATACATACTATGAACAAATTGATGGTGTTAGTATGGGTTCTCCCTTGGCCCTTATTTTAGCAAACTTATTTATGGGATTCCAAGAGAAACAATGGCTCAATGATTGCAAATGTCCTGATGTGCTTTATTATCGTAGATATGTAGACGACACGTTTTGTGTGTTTAATAATCAAAATGAAGCTGACAAGTTTTTTAAGTTCATAAACAATAGACATATTTCTATCAAGTTTACAATGGAAAAAGAGAACGACAACAGACTAAGTTTTTTGGATGTACTCATACATAAACATGATGATAAATTGAAAACATCTGTTTTCAGAAAATCCACCTTCAGTGGTCTATTATTAGGTTTTGTTAGCTACTGTCCTTTTAATTACAAATTACGATTAGTCAACACACTTGTTGATAGAATTTATAAGCTAAATAACACGTGGCTCGGCCTACATAATGATCTTTGTGACCTGAAAAATATCTTACTACGAAATGGTTACCCAATTCACTTTGTTGACAAGTCTATTAAAAACTATTTAGATAACACAATCTCTGATATTACAAAGAAAACTCTCAATGATGACTTTTTGTTAAACTTCCATATATTGGCATATTTTCTGACAACATGAAATTATTATTTTTGTCAAATTATGGATCTTGTCAAAAAATACTGTATTGATTGTAAAGTACATGTGATATTTAGTACCACTAAAATCTGTCAGCTTTTTAGTACTATAGATACTATCCCCAATGAATCACGATCCTCAGTAGTATATAAATTTAAATGTGCTGGATGTAATTCCAGTTATATAGGCTATACAGGCCGTAGATTAATTACGAGGATTGGTGAACATCTTGGAAAGGATAAAAATTTACACGTACTTAAACACCTTAACGCAAACAATAAATGTAAAAGGTTGTCTGATAAGAAATGTTTCTCTATACTGGATATTGATAACAATGAAATCAAA